GGAGGAGGGAGGGGGTCAGAGGCGGGGAGGCGCTGGCCAGGGTGAGACGGATCCGACGACTCAGAGGGCAAGCTGGGGAGGCCTCCGCTGCTGGGGACACTTACCGCCCGGGCTCCCGTGGTCTCTGCTGGCCTGTCGTCTCCTCAGAGCAGGCAGGAGGTAATAGCGTGCTTGCCTCCCTTGTAGCAGCTCCTGAACCCTGGGGTATTTGCCAGATTTCTGAGAGATGAAGGAGATCTCTGAGCTAGGGGTCCAGCCCATTCCTAGCTTACCTACAGGATCCTGTCCTCTACCTGTCCCCCCGCCCCTCCATCTCCTCCCTTGCACACTCACCTGGATGGCATCACCCACATGCCCCTGCCCTGCCTTGTTGGGCTGGAATGAGTCATGAACTAAGAGATCCAGGTGCTGGAAGAGAAGAGGTCCTGACACCAGCAGCCAGGGTGTGTCTGGGTCTGAGTGTTGAGTCCAGAAATGGGTATCTCACCTGGATTGGCACCATCCCATAATGCCTGCCCATCACCTCAGCCACGTGGACAAACATCTACAGGAGGGACAATGAGGGTCACACCTGGGCCACTCCAGGGTCTATGCCTCCCCTCCGCGCGGGGCCCATGCGTGGCCCACGCCCCCGGCTCTCAGCTCCAGGCCTGTCCAGCCTCCCTCCAGCCAGGTGTCTCGTGCTTCATTCTCTGCCTCAAACCCACCAACCCAGCTCCAGTCATGGAATCTAGGCCAGGACTGGAAGGCATCTGATTCTGGTTGGTCCAGCCCTCTAGCCCTATGATCAGGGCAGGGATGGGGTGGCACCCTACCACCAGATGTCCCCTCACCTCCAGATATTCTAGGTCTGTGTCCTTCAGCTCCTGGGAGGTGCTGAGGATCTGGAACAAGGAGAGTAAATGGAAGTGTCTGCGAAGGCAAAGAGATACTGGGAAGATCCCAGTTGGTCTTGGGACCTTGGAAAACCCAGCCCAGGGGTTTCCACAGCCTGCAGAGGGGCTGGCTGTGACGGACGGAAGCAGGCAGGGGAGTGATCCTGCAGAATTTCAACTGCCCCCCAGGGACCTTCAACCCACCTTTAGAATGAACGATGTTCCCACCTTCACTAACTGGGGGCATCCTTCCCTTGCAGGGGCACCCCCAGAATCTGCAGAGACCCTGAGCACAAAAGCCTTCGAGACAGAGTGACTGCCCCCTGCACTCTGAGGGCCAGACTCCGCTGAGATGCCCCAGATTTGCAGGAAGCGGAGCTGGAGCAGGGCACCAGATCACAGCGCCCTCACCTGGTAGGAGCTCAGCATCGTGATGAGGGCACAGAGCTTGGTCCTTGTTTCTCTGCTCAGTTCAGGGCTCATGGCATCCCCCGTGTCCACCAGAAACACAGCCACCTGTGCAGCAGCAGGGACAAACCAAGGGGTCAAGGCTGCCTCAGTGCCTCTGGCCGCTGCGTCTTCCTGTCCTTGCCCCAAAGTGTTCCTTCTCCATTCTCCCCCCCTTGCCCATCCCTGTGCAGTCTTTTTTTTTTTTAAATATCTTTATTGATTTCAGAGAGAGGAAAAGAGAGAGAGAGGTAGATAGAAACATCAATGATGAGAGAGTCATTGATCTGCTGCAGCCCACAACATGAGCATATGCCCTGACCGGGAATCGAACCCCGATCGCCTGGATCCTAGGTCAATGCTCAACCGCTGAGCCACACCCGGCTGGGCCCTGTGCAGTCTTTCTACCTGTCCCCTCCCTGACCCAACCTTGCCTTCCTCTGCCTTTTCTCCCCCTCACCTTCCTCCCCTCCTTCCCCAGCAGGAAGGGGTGGCTCCACATCCATATGCCCCTGGTGAGGCTCTCGGCACCCCATCTGAAGCCCTGCAGGGAGCCCCCTCCTCTCAGCCAGCATTCGCTGGACTCCTGCAAGGCAGGGGAGAACATCAGTGGATGCATCTGACCCCCATTCCCCTCCCAAAGCCGTGCGGGGTTCCCCAGCCCGGCCGCAGCCCCTCACCCAAGCCTGCCCTCACCTGGCCCGGCAGCCCCTGGAGCAAGCAGTTGAGGAGGGAGGTCTTCCCTGGGTGCTGCTCCCCCAGCACAGCAAGGAGGCAGACGGGGGTGTCCCTGGCCAGGGGGTGCTTCAGGCAGCAGTTGATGGCCCCCATCCTTGGGATGAGGCCTCCGGAGGCACTGATTCGCACCAGCAGCAGGGGCTCCGGCCTCACAGCGCAGGTCTCCTGGGCCGGGAGAAAGAGGGATCCTTTAGCACCCAGATTATGGGAGTAGGACCCCAAGTTTGGAGTGTGTCCAACCCTGAACTCCATTTCTCGCCCTGACATCCTAGATAGGACCAAAGCTACACACCCCTCTGGGATTGGACCCGGGTCTCCCAGTGGCCCCCCCCTCCAGGAGGCCTGGTCCCCAGACCTGCAGGACAGAGCGCGGTGGCCTCTGCAGCAGGAGCTTCATCTTCTCCTCCAGACTCCGGAGGCCCTTCCGCTTGCCTGTCCTGCGGCCCTCGGGGCAGCACGGGCGGTGGGCGCCGAGGCCCCGAGCGCAGGAGTCCCGGCTGCCGTCCAGGGGGCCGTGCTCGCGCCGCCTCTCTAGGCCGGTGGAGCAGGCGGGAAGCTCCCGAGGCGCCGCGGGCCGGGACCCCAGGCCCAGCTCCAACTTGGGGAATGGTGGGTGGGACCTGGGGGCAGAACAGGTCATTTGAGAGTAGCATGTGCGGTGCAAGGGTGTACAGGCCGGGAACTTAGGGGGCAGGCTGTGGCCAGAGAAGCCAGCTCTGCCCGCTCCTCTGACTGCATCACAGAACCGGGGGACTCCAGAGGGGGCTCAGCAGAACAGTGGGGAAAGCCATCTGGGGAGACAGCCTGGAATGGATGAAACCTTGGCTTTGCCATGCCAAGTACAACTGGGGGCAAGTGTCTTCCGCATCCGGGCCAGTTTCCTAATTGTCCAGGAGGAGAGGTGAGCAGTGCCCACCTCGTGGGGCCTTTGGAGTGATCTGATGAGATGGTGGGTGCCAGGCGCAGCGCATGCACCCTGCCCAGCACCTGGCACAAATGCTCATGAAAATCCTCACCCGGGGCCGCCTGCTGCCAGGGCTCCCTCAAGGAGTTACTGACTGGGCTGGATCACCTAAGGAATGATCCCTTTTGCAACCTCCTACAGCAGCTTAAACACACCCAGAGCTGAGACTGTAGGAGAGGGTGGGAGCCCCCTGGTAGTGGGGCAGACGGCTCTGGTTCTAGAAGATTCCACTCTCCCACTCTTGAGCTAGAATGGGCCTCCCTGCAGCAACCACCTGATCTCCCCTGTCCCCACGTGGGCCCCTTCTCCAGATCCTGGCAGATCCAGCCTTGAGCTCCCTCCCTGGGACAGCTCAGGCCGGAGTTCCTAGACCAGTGGACCTACCAGACCCACTGCGCCAATCCTACCAGCAGGCCCTGCCGCTTACCAACTGTTGCTGCTGTTTCCCATGAAGCTCTGTTTTCTCTCCTTGGAGAGAAAATTGGGGGAGGGGGGGCAGGGAGTAACAACAAAAAGACATTATTTAGAAAAGAATCCAGATTCCCGCCTTCATCCTGGGTTTAGAAGCATCTCAGTTCCCCTCTGCACACCCACCCCGTCCCCAGGGAGCCCCTTCCCACCACCATTCTTTTCCCCAAATCTTAGGAGAAGACTTGCCTGTTTGCCAAACCGGTGACAGAAGGAAATGACTGACAAGGCGGATCTCAGCATGGGAGGCTGCGAGTGGGGAGCGGGTCCAGAAGTCCCGGGCGGAGGCCTGCGAGACCGGTGAGACCTGCTGGCCTGTGGCAGGTGGACGGTGTGGGGGATGGTCTCCCCAGAGGAGCCAGCTCGCCAGAGATGAAAAATAGATGTGACAGTCGGGAAAGGAGGCTGCCTCTGGGCTCACCCCAGGGGGAGGAGACAGGACTGCAGGAACCAGGGCTCTGGAGGAGGGAGGGACAGAGCCAGGCTCAAAATCCCTGGCAGAGGCTGGGATGCAGGCGAGCAAAGTGGTGAGTCACCATGGAGACGGAAAAAGATAAGGGCGGGGAGGGGGAGGGGGCATGCTCCATTTTCCCATCAGACTTCGCTTACAAAATACAAACTCAAAGCTCACATGATGAGTGATTTCCAGATGGCGACTACAGGACACCGCCTCCCAGGCTCAGGCCCCCTGCAGACCGGTCCTGAGTGGCTGCAGCGGGAAAGCACCCAAGAAGCCAGCCCTGGTCACTCTGGCTGCTGCATGGACAACAGGTTAGAAGGGCAGGGCTGGAGGTGGGCGGGAGGCCAGGCTACAGAGCAGAACCCCCATGCCAGGCCTCACTGTGACAGGCACATGGGAGCCCGCTGGCAGAGGGGAGGGGAGGAAACACCATGCCGAGAGCTGGTGCTCCGGAGAAAGGCCTGGCCCTGCTCCTTCGCTGGCAGAGGCCCCTCCTGGGAGACCAGCTGTGGGGGTCAGGCATGCACGGCCCCGTTAGATCCACCAGGCTCCACAGGCCTATGAGTGCTTCTAGTCTCTGAGGATGATTGAAACCCGATGAGAAAATGAGAGCCTCCAAACTGCAAAAAAGAAACTTCAAAATCAAAAGTAATGCCTGCCTAACTCAGTGTCTGCTGCCCTCATGTGATGTCACCTGACGAACACAGCTGGCATTGTCTTCTGTGAAGTCAGATTCAAATCCTGAGTGCCACTGAGTCAACAGGTATTCACTGAGCATCTACTAAGGGTTGAGCACTGAACTAGGTTCTGGAATGTCTGGGTGACCAAAACAGAAAATGGCTGGTAAGTGTTTATACGCAATAATAAGTAATTGGTTCTCATCAAATTCAATCCTCCTTTAAAAATTCATGGTAAAAAATTTCAGTTCTGTGTGGGCTGTGGCAGCTTGTTTCGATGGTTCACTCCGACGTGCAGGGAGACCTCCCAAGGGCCAAGGGCCTGGCCCAATCCACGTCCCTGAGCCTAGCGGGCAAGCCCTGCCCGGGGGACCACGCTGTCGGGGAAGGAAAGGAAGCTCCTCGCAGGGTGAGGACTCCGCGCAGGCCGGACCCACCCCAGGGACCCTCAGGGACAGGAAAGGCCACCCCGAGCCAGGCCCAGCCCTGCAAGGTAGACAGGCTGCTGGGCGCGGCTGGGGGCTGAGAGGTGACTTCAGAGAAGGGAATCGACAGGGAGGGGCCAGGGCAGGAGGGGAGTGAATTTCGGGTCCTGGAGAAAGTCTCACTCACTATTTCACCCATTTGTGCATTCGATCACCGACAGGCATCGGGCTCCTCCCTCGCTGTAGGACCAGGCTCCTGGTGGCCTAGCTCAGGCGCTGACCTCCTGAGCTCTGGCTTCAGCTTCTGGGCTGGAAGGAGGCGAAGGGGTAAAGTCACTTTTGGAAAAAACAGCTTCGGAACCAAAAATACAGTCTCTCGGACGGGGCGCTGCCTGGGGAGGCTTCTGTGAGCGCTGATACAGGCACACACACTCACTCACCCAGTGACTGGGTTCATGTAAACTCACACACCTACATGTGAAAATACTGCCACTTCCCCACACCGGGTGCACACACACCTTCACCACTCTCTCTTGTCTCTGTACACACGCATGTGTGTGCAGCTTTACACACATGTGTACTTAGACTCTCAACTCTACAGCCACACACACTCATATGCTGGCTCATTAGCACTCTCAGACACAAACTCACTGCTTGTGCACTGAGGCCCTCACGCTGGTGGATTTACACAAGCTCACACTCACTCTCATATGCAAACACATCACACACTCCTCACAGGTTCTGCTCCAAGCGTATCCATGAACTCACCCTCATCAACACAGCCTATCAGGGAGGTACTATATTCCAGATGAGGAAACTGAGGCTAGAGAGGTTAAATCACTTGTCCAAGGTCACGCAGCTATTAATGGCAGAGCTGAATCCAACCCCAGGCAGTCAGGCTCCCACACCAGGCTCCCACTACATTCCATAGTTTTCTTGGGTGGCAGAAATCATGTCAAGGTGATAACAAGCCTGGAAAAGAGTTTGTGGTCTTGCCATTCTCAGTCACCTGCCTCGGAGCAGGGAAGAAAACTCGGCCCAGCTGCTCTATGTAGAATCAGGCAACTGAGTTTGGGATGGTTCTGACCCCAGCCAGCCCTCTGTGTGACCTCGGGCAAGCCGGCCTCAGTCTCCTGATGTGTAAGAGGGGGGCTCAGTGAGACCCCTGGTTCCCTTCTGTTGGAGCTTTTTGTTCCTCTCTTTTTGTTCCCCGCCTGGGAACTTCCAGAGGGCAGGGGCAGGCTGGCCCTCACCAGAAGCCTGGCACAGTGGGTGCTGGTGGCACTGGATCTCTCCCCTTCTGGTCCTGCCATCTGGATGTCCTCCCTTCCCTGTGCTCCTGGGAAACACCTGGACACCCCCGGCTCTGCCAACAAGGTGCAGGCCACGTGGAGTGTCATCACACCCTCCCTCGTGGTCAGCAGGGGCCCTGAGGGCACTCTCCAGCCCAGTGCCCTTCTCCCAGAACTAGCTGTCTGTCTGGCCCTGGTCTCCACCCAGTTGCCCAAGGGCACTTCCTACAAGGTGAGTGGCTGGGAAAAAGTGAAGGAAACAAGTCCAGACTTTGGACCCGGGGGCTGAGGTGACATCCCTCCTCCCATCACTGCCCTGAGCCCAATAGCACTGTTCTCAGCTTCTTCTCCTCAGGCCACTCCCAGCCCCTAGCCCGAGCCTCCAGGTTATCTCACCAGCCCACACCCCTCTACAGTACCTCTCCCCACATGCAAATGGTTCTCTGGCTATGGCCAAGGCAAGACTCACTCTTGCTCCCCCTTTCTCTCCCACACCTTCTTTCTCCACAGTCTCTCCAGAGACCCAAGCGCCACTCTTAGATCAACGAGCCTGTGAAGTCTCTAAGGCAGGTAAGCAGGTGTTCCCAGGAGCCCAGAGACTTGGTCATTGGGCGGGATGTGCTGTGTGCAGACTCCAGCCAAGGTGTCCCCGATGTCTGCCAGGTGAGTGAGGAATTCACCCACCCAGCCATCTTTTCATCTGTCACTATCCACTGTCTGCCCATCTAATTATCTATGTTTATACTTATCCACCCATGTTACAAGTTTTTTATTGATTTTTAGAGAGGGAGAAAGGGAGGGAGGGAGAGAGAGAGAAACATCGATGTGACAGAGAAACGCTGATCAGTTGCATCCTGTGTGCACCCCAACTGGGGACCAAACCCGAAACCTAGGTATGTGCCCTGACCTGGACTCGAATCCGAGACCCTCCGGATCACGGGACAACGCGCAACCCACTGAGCCACCCGGCCAGGGCCATATTACAACTTTCTGTTAAGCAGCGTACGCCAGGCATTGCTGGCCCTGGGAGTAGACTGGTGAGTGCTCAGGGTTCCTCCAGCCCAGTGAGGAAGACATAAGGTCACCAGACAAGTTCCGAGCGAAAGCTGTCTGAGGGCGAGTGAGAGGCAAGGTAGAAGGACCGGGCAAAGGCACCTTGCCCGGCGCTGGAGCCCTGGGAAGGTGTCCTCCACAAAACAACGCCCCAGCCAATTCTGAGAAACGAGCTCGAGTTGGTCAGCAAAGGTGTGGGGGTGAGAAGACAGAACTTCTAGCAGAAACACCAGCACCTGCGTGGGCCCAGAGGTAGAAGGAAAGAGCCCAGCTGGAGTCCAGCTTGTGAAGCCAGGGAGGCAAGGGGAGCAGGGCCAGGCCTGCAGGGCCACATCATCTCGCAGACCTTCCCACAGTGCTCTCCTGCAGGCCTCAGGAAGAAGGCCACTGTCCTGCCGAGCTAATGGCCTCTGGGTGCTGTCAGGTGTGGTGAGCTGGGGAGGGGGCCCTGGTGCGCAGACCAGCGTAGCTGCCTCCCCGCCCTCGCCCCTGAGGGGAGCAGGATGTGTCCCCATGCCCTGCAGGCCCACTGACCATCCTCGCTCTTGCCCTGGCCCTGGCCACGGTGCATCTGTTCCGGGGCCCGTGTGCTGCTGGGCCTGAGAGGTCAGGCCTCTTTGGGTGAAGGGGGGAAAAGCTGAAACAGAGACAACAGAATTGGAGGGAGGTGCCAACTCTCCCAGCAGCTTCCACACTTAGCTGGCATCTTTTAATTTTGAGTAAAGATCAAGATACGGCCACGCGAGGTCTGGAATTCCTGCAAGGTTTTCACTTCCCGCACAGTCCCTCCCAGGCCCTCTGCCCCTTCTCATTCATCGCAGAGGGCCCAGTCCTGAGTCCGGCCGAGGGCTGAAAGGCCATCCCAGCTGCAGCACAGATGCCCAAAGCCCTGAGGAGTCGGAGAGACTGCCGTCGGCTCAGTCAGGTGCCCACGAATGAGGCCGCACGGCCCCCATCCCACCAATGGCGATAGTTCCAAGTGGTGTCTACTTTTGACCTCTGTGTTCAGAGCTGGTGGGAGGCACTTGGCAGAGGGGCGCTGAGGACAGTCCCTGAACTCTGCACTGGGCAGAAGTTGTCCAGACGCTAGAGAGCCAGGTCCCATGTGGCTGCTCCCAACCCTGACCCTGAAGCCTGACTCCACCCCCTCCCCTGCGGGCCAGCTTCCAAAGGCTTCCCATCGGCAGCTGGAGGAAAGTCTGAGCTCCTCAGTGTCCCTTCCAAAGGCTCCCAACATCAATTCAATCCCAGGCTTCCTGAAATAATTTTCAAAAGAAAACATTAACCAATCTTTGCTTAGCAATTTAGGGTTCGCAGTGCATTGTCATATGAGCTGCCTCGGTTGATTCTCACAACACAGCGACTATTAGCTCCATTTTTCAGACAGGGAAATTGGCTCGGAGAGCTGAGAAGACCTGGCGCCAGCGCCAGAGGAGGAGTCCGGCGCCCTGGCCCTCAGGACTGTCGCCTCTCCACCACACCCCACTGCGTGCCTGTGTGGAGGACATACCCACTCCACACCTTTGCCCCTGCCATTCGCCCCGCCTGGGATGCCCTCACGAGCCTCACCCAGGTCCAGGCTGGCTCAGGCTTCCTGCAGGACCCTGCCCCATCCGGTCTCTCCTCATCGTTGGTCCTCGTGTTTAAGAAATGCCTCCCATGTACTGAGCATGGAACTGGATGCAGGGACCACAAGTGACAGAGGGAGTCCCTGCCCCCAGGAGCTCAAAGGCAGCTGCCCCTCAGCATGGTCGGTGCAGTCACAGAAGTTCAGGGACCTATGGGACCCAGGGTAAGCCCCTCAGACAGACTTGGGAGCCCCTTATGAAAGGTGCTGGGGAAGGAGAGAGGTATTCCAGGCACAGGGAACGGCATGTGCAGAGGCCAGTGTGGGGTGGGGCCTGGGGTGGGCAGAGCAGAGGCAGGGCGGGGGCCACGGAGGCCGCGTGCTGAGCTTAGACTTGACTTGCATGACACTGGGAACCATAAGTAATTTTAAGTAGCAGGCATGTGATCAGAGTTGTGTCCCTGAATCATGACTTTACCCAAGAAGAGGGGATGGGGGCGCCTTGCGGTTGGATAGCCACTTCTCACTAGCGCCTTCGCCTACTGAACCAGCCCTCCACCCGGGCCTCTGGTGACAGACGTCTGGAAGGACTCCAGCACTTTGCCACATGGCCCTGTTCTGACCACTCCCCCCGAGTGCGGGGGCTGAAGGAGCCCTGGCTGGCGCGGTGCCCTGCGGCGCTGTGCTCGCCAGTGTTGGCTGCGTGTGGGGGGGACGGTCGCAGCCTGCTCCCCATCCTCGTTTGCTCTCCAGTTTTGAAGTTATCCATCGGCCATGTTGGCAAAAACAGAAGCTTTTTTTAATTAAAGGGGAAGATTTAAAGCACCCTAAATGTCCAGTTATAAATTAATAGTTGATGATTAAATAACTAGACATTGTAGACTCAGGGTTACTTGGGCAGCATTGCTGCTGATCGCTGGGCACCTCGAGGCCTGCCCCTTAGACCGAGTCCTTTCCCGACTAGAGTCACATACAGCACGTGTGTGGCCCCTGTGCCAGCCACGGCTCCTTCGGCAAAGCCGCCGGCCTCCGAGGCTGTCTCTGAGGCCCCGGCCATGCTGTTGGTGGGCAGGGAAGGCCCCACGAGGAGCAGCACCTCCAGTGGGCTGTGAGAGCGACAACGGGTGCTGCGGGCAGGGCAGAGAGGTCCAAGCAAAGATTGCGAAGGCCCACTGCTTGCAGTTTGAGAGGTTTCTGGCATATTAATAAAGGAAGTAATGCTAAAGAAGCCTATAGAAGCCAAGGCACATTTTTAAAGTTTACAACGGATGCTTTAAACAACAAAGACTTCGTTTGGCCATGAAAGTCTGAGGTCTGGAGGTGAGCCCTCGGTAGCTGGCCTGTGACAGCCGCACACTGGATGGCTTAAGCAACAGAAATTCACTTTCTCACCTTTTTGGAGTCTAACAGGGTTCATTTGCTCTGAGGCCCTCTCTTGGCTTGTAGATGACTGTCTTTTCCCTGTGTCTTTTCCCATCGTCTCCCCTCTGTGACTGTGTCCTAATCTCTTCTTCTCAAGGGACACCAGTCACTGGATTAGGGTACACCCACAAGACCTTATTTCATTTTAATTACCTATTTACAGGCTTTGTCTCCAAGTACAGTCACATTGTGAGATGCTGGGGGTAGGACTTCAACATATGGACTTTGATGGAACACGACTCGGCCCAAATAGGCCCAGTGGACACCTAGCACGGGAACGTGGAGAAGGTGAAGAGAGGAGCTCAGAGGCGCTGGCAGGGGCCAGAAAGACCTGCATTCAGGCTAAGAAAACTAGAAACACAGGGGAAACCAGAAGAGTAGAATTTTCAGTAGCATACTTGGAGCCTCGCTCTGGCAGTTGGTCCAGTAAGTCCAAGGGGAGGAAGCTAGGGACCAGTCTGTGGGCGTGGGAGGAGGGGCAGGAGTCACCTGGAGACTGGAGCCACCTCTTGTTAACCCTCACAACACCCGGAGATGGGAATTAACACACACACATTTTACAGGTGAGGAAACTGAGACTTGGAGAGCTTAAATGACTTCCCCAAAGCTCACACCACTTCTTTTGTTTTTGTTTTTTTTAAATATGTTTTTATTGATTTCCGAGAGGGGAAGGGAGAGAGAAACATCAACGATGAGAGAGAGTCATTGATCAGCTGCCTCCTGCACGCCCCCACTGGGGATGGAGCCCACAACCCGGCACGCGCCCCAACTGGGAATTGAACCGTGACCTCCAGGTTCATGGGTAGACGCTCAACCACTGGGCCACACTGGCCGGGCATCACACCGGTTTTGGTGGGTTTTCCTTTATCCTTACCTGAGGATGTGCTTATTGATTTTAGAGAGTGAGGAAGGGGAAGAGAGAGAGAGAGAACAGCTATTGGTTGCCTCCCATATGCGCCCCAATTGGGGCTTGAACCTGCAACCTAAGTATGTGCCCTGACTGGGGATCAAACCTGCAACCTCTCTGTGTACGGAACAACGCTCCAACCCTTGAGCCACACTGGGCCATACCAATTCCTTACATTGAAGCTTCTACAGCTAAAACGGTGGGGCCTGCGGTGGCCCAACAGCCATTTGCTGAATGTAATGAAAAAAATAGAGAAGCCACAATTGAAATACGGGGGGACAGGAAGGTGGGCTACGGAGGCAGGTTAAGCAGAATATACTGAACAATGTGGGGGACGGCAGGAGAGGGAGAAGGAGGGGACACTGGGGAAGCTGGAGGACCCCACGGGCGCCTTTCTGGAGGTTCACACTGGCTGTGGGGTCCTTGGCTGCTGGCACCAACCCACCCTCATGCTTCATCTTCCCCCCAAATCAGAATCTAGACTTGGCTGCAGACCCCTCCCCCGCTTGTACCACCCTCTTTCCGACTCCCATGCTGTCCCCTGGGTCTGGAGCATCCAGGCTGCCAGCCAGGAAGCTGAGAGATGGGCCAGCTGGCTCCTGAGCAACAAACTCCTCACTACAGATTCTGCCCAGCTGGACCCTGGCCCCCCAGACCTGTATGAAGTGAGAGGCAGAGATCACGGCTGGACACAGGCAGGCAGCCAAACTGAACCCAGTGGGGCCTGCTGCAGTCAGTCCAGACCTCTGCGTAAGGCTCTCCACTGCCCGCTGGCCTGGACGGTCCTTCAGTGTGGACCAGACGGGCACAGCTGTGGGGGTCACTGGGCAGCCCCCTGGGCTGAGTCACTCCCCTCACTCGAGCTCAGTTTCCCCAGAATTAAACTAAGATGATAACTACTGTGCAGGGTTATTGCAGGGGGGCTGGCAGGCGACTTGGTGCTCGATAAACGCTGGCTGTTAATCAGCCTTGGAGGCAGAGGCGAGCCTGCGTCACTCAGCTTACTGTGCCCACATCCCCCAGCCCCTTGCCTTGGCTCTCAGCCTCCCTCTGCAAGGCTTCACCCCCTCTTCTGTGTCAAATAGAAGCCAAGAGATTCCTCCAGAAGCAGGACCCTAGGGAGTGCATGAAAACAGATGCCCAACAAAGAAAATGCCTCTAATTTATGACATTGACAGTAATGACCACACATATGCACTGGGCTCCTAAAATACGCTGAGTCCTTTATACAACAGAATCTCCAGCTCTCCCTGAACGCCTCCAAAGGTGCAAATATTGGCTCCATCTTACAGATGATGAAACTGAGGGTACCCAGGTGACTCCCAGCCAAGCCTATCTTGCATCTCGTCTCCTTCCCTCTTCTCTCTCTCCCTCTCTCTCTCCCTCTGTCACACACACACAGTGTTTCTCCTGCCTCTCTCAAACCTCTGGCCAATTGCTTCCCCCTCCAGCGACGGGGCCACAGCAGGCAGGCCCTTGCATCCGCACTGCAGCACGCTTGCTGATGAGATGAATGCGGGGCCCTGTGAAGCCAGCTTAGGAGAGAGGATGCTAACAGCTGACCCCAGGGGTCAGGAAGGAGGTGTCCAAAGGTGGGAGTTTGCTTCTGCTTTCCGACAATGTGTCTGGTGGCAGGGAGAGCAGGAGGTCCCCACCCAGATCAGATGGCCCAGGCTGCTCCATCCCAACTGATGCTCAAGTGCCAGCAAGGAAGGAGGAGAGGCCGGAGCAGGCCTGGGAGCGTGCACACGGTTCAGGCCACCCCGCCGGACCAGCAGGGCCCACCTGGAACCTGAGGCTCCTTCCTTCCGCTTCTCACCAATCCACCCTCCACGGCAGCCATCCCAGTTTTTAAAGAGTGCCCATCAAAATGGGCCAGCCAGGACAGGGGTGCCTGCTGGGTGCTAGAAATGCTCCACCTGGGTGTTGGCACCAGATGTGCCCACCTGTGATGCTGAGTCCACTTCGCTGTGTGGAAAACACGTCGAAGGGACTTCCCCCTGCAGGATAATGGGTCAATGTGCTTTTTCCTGTTACTGTGCAAAGTCTGACTAAAAGCCTCAGACATTAGATGTAAAATAGAGAAACACTGAAAGGTGGAGAGATGGCTCATGGGCTGGGGACATCAGTGCAAAGACAAAGAGGTGCACACCCTGGGTTTCTTTGGCCTCACTGTCCTAGACCCAGGAACGCGGAGCAGGCAACCTGGAGATGCCAATGGGCACAGACAAAAATGCCCCCCCTGAAACCCTGCCCTCTTGAGCCAAGAAGCCAGGAAAGGGGAAATCTGGCAAGACAGAAAACTCCTAGACAATAAACACTCTCCTGCAGCCAGACGCCCCACCTACGCCAGCAGACTTCCAGGTGGGAGCCCAGACGTCCCCTCACCCAAGTGGTATCAGAGAAGGCCAAGTAGGGAGCCCTGACTTTCCTCACAGCCAGTAACAAACTGTATCCCCAACCCCAAAGTGTTAGTGGAGGTCGCCTGGGAGCCAAAACTCTGACCCCGCCCAGCAGTCACAGTCTGACCCCTGGGATGTCAGCAGGGCAGATGAGGAACCTGGACCTCCACCTCCGCCTGGCACACTGAGGCAGGACCCCTGCCCCTGCCAGAGGGTGTCAGGGGGAGCCAGCTAAGACAAGTTTAAATAGAATCAGTGTCTCAAAATGTAATTTAAAACAGTCCAGATTTCATTTGAAAAATCACTCCTAATACTAGGAACCTGGAAGATCTCACCCTGAGGAAAAAACACAATGAGTCGATGCCAACAGAGAGACGAGAGACAGGAGAACCGCCTGACAAAGAGTTTAGAGCAGCAGTGGAAAATGCCCCAGTAAGCAATTACGAGCACACTTGAAACAAATGAAAACATAGAAAGTCTCAGCAAAACAATAAGAGTTGTGCAAAACAAGCAGATGGAAAATTTAGAACTGAAAAATACTGTAATTGAAATAAAATGTTTAGTGGAAGGGCTCAACAGCAGAGTGGGGGTACAGAGAAAAAAATCAGCAAATTGGATCATAAAACAGTAGAAATACCCAATCTGACAACAGAAAGAAAAAAGATGACAAAAAAAAAAAAAAGACTAGAGACTCAGGGACTGTGGAACTATAACAAAAGGTCTACCACTGTCACTGGAGTCCAGGAGAGGCTAAGGAGGGATGGGCATGGAGAGTCCTCAAAGAAAGAATGGCTGGAAATGCCCCAAATGTGACAAGAGACATAAACCTACAGATTAAAGATGAGCAAACCCCAAACAAGTGAACCCAAAGCAATTCAAAGCAAGACACATCATCACTAAACTTCTGAAAACTAAAGATAATGGATTTAAAGCAGCCAGAGAAAAACATCACTTTATCTACAGGCGTAAACATTTGGAATGACAGCAAATTTCTCTTCGACAACCGTGGCAGCCGGGACAAAGTGGCACAGTATTTTCCAGGGAAAAGACATCTCCAGGATCACATGGCTTCCCTGGAGAATCTACCAGACCTTTAAAGAAGAGTCACCATGAATTCTGTACAGTACCTCCCAGAAAATGGAGGGAGAGGAAACACTTCCCACTTTATCTAGGAACCTAACACTGCCTTATAGCAAAACAAAAGACAGTTCTAAAAATAAACACCCAAACCAATATGGCTCTCGAGTAGATACAAAAATCCTTAACAAAATATCAGCAAATAGAATCCAGCAAAATAAACAAAAGAATTGTACACCATGACAAAGTGGATATAAAATGAGGAAAGACCGAAAGGTAGAGAGAAGATAAATTAGACTTAATAGTCCAAGGATGAAAAATTGGTCCAGTGTTTGAAAATCAATCAATACAATCCACCCTATGAACAGACTTTTTAAAAAATCACATAATCATATCAGTTGGAGCAGAAAATGTATTTTTAAAAATTCAATACCCATCAATGATTTAAAAAACAAAATCTCTTAGAAGAATAGACATACAGGGAAGCTTCCTCCACTTGATAAAGCATTTGCAAAATGCCTACAGCTGACAGTACACATAAGGGTGAAAGACTGAGTGCTCCCTGGGAGCTAGGCAAGGGTGTCTACTCTCACTACTCTTACTCAACAGAGTACTGAAAGTTCTAACCAGTGCAATAAGGCAAGAAAAGGAAATAAAAGGCATACAGGAAAGGATGAAATAAACCTGTCTCTTTTTGCAAATGACATGATTGTCAATGTAGAAAATCCCAAGGGACCTACAGAAAA